CCTGTCCTAATCCTTTATTTTTGTTCCTAATTCCTGAACAATCTTTTTATTGTTCCTAAATCCCTGTCCGAATCCTTTAATTTTGTTCCTAATTCCTTAAACAATCTTTTAATTGTTCCTAAATTCCTGTCCTAATATCCTTTATTTTTGTTCCTAATTCCTGAACAATCTTTTAATTGTTCCTAAATTCCTGTCCTAATCATTTATTTTTGTTCCTAATTCCTGAACAATCTTTTAATTGTTCCTAAATTCCTGTTCTATAATCCTTTAATTTTGTTCCTAAAATTTAAAAATTCAGTTTTTTAGTCTTTAGTTATTAATTTTGACTCTTTTAGAGTCTTTTAAGTCAAAAAACAACCTAAAAAAACTTGCCCCCCCCCCTCACTTAAATCCTGTATCCGCCCCTGATTCCATTTACAGTTCTCCTTCTCTTCATTCCATCTACGTAGTTCTCCTTCTCTTCATTCCATCTACGTAGTTCTCCTTCTCTTCATTCCATCTACAGTTCTCCTTCTCTTCATTCCATCTACAGTTCTTCTTCTTCTCTTCATTCCATCGACAGTTCTCCTTCTCTTCATTCCATCTACAGTTCTCCTTCTCTTCGGTCCATCTACAGTTCTCATTCTCTTCAATCAATCCCAGCTCTCCTTCTCTTCTTCATTCCATCTACAGTTCTCCTTCTCTTCATTCCATCTACAGTTCTCCTTCTTATCTTCATTCCATCCACAGTTCTCCTTCTATTAATTCCATCTACAGTTCTCCTTCTCTTTATTTCATCTACAGTTCTCCTTCTCTTCATTCCATCTACAGTTCTCCTTCTCTTCATTCCATCTACAGTTCCCCTTCTCTTCATCCCATCTACAGTTCTCCTACTCTTCATTCCATCTACAGTTCTCCATGTTCTCTTCATTCGATCTACAGTTCTCCTTCTATTCATTCCATCTACAGTTCTCCTTCTTCTCTTCATTTCATCTACAGTTTTTCTTCTCTTCATTCCAATTACAGTTCTCCTTCTCTTCATTCCATCTACAGTTTTTCTTCTCTTTATTCCATCTACAGTTCTCCTTCTCTTCATTCCATCTACAGTTCTCCTTCTTTTCATTAAATCTACAGTTCTCCTTCTCCTCATTCCATTTACAGTTCTCCATTTCTTCATTCCATCTACAGTTCTACTTCGATGTTTATTCCATCTACAGTTCTCCTTCTCCTCTTCATTCCATCTACAGTTCTCCTTCTCTTCATTCCATCTGCAGTTCTACTTCTGTTTATTCCATCTACAGTTCTCCTTCTCTTTATTTCATCTACAGTTCTCCTTCTCTTCATTCCATCTACAGTTCTCCTTCTGTTCATTCCATCTACAGTTCTCCTTCTATTCATTCCATCTATAGTTCTCCTTCTTTTCATTCCTGCAGTTCTCCTTCTCTTTATTTCATCTACAGTTCTCCTTCTCTTCATTCCATCTACAGTTCTCCTTCTGTTCATTCCATCTACAGTTCTCCTTCTCTTCATTCTATCTACAGTTCTCCTTCTTCTCATTCCATCTACAGTTCACCTTCTCTTCATTCCATCTACAGTTCTCCTTCTCTTCATTCCATCTACAGTTCTCCTTCTCTTCATTCTTCATTCCATCTACAGTTCCCCTTCTCTTCATTCCATCTACAGTTCTCCTTCTCTTCATTTCATCTACAGTTCTCCTTCTCTTCATTCCATCTACAGTTCTCCTTCTCTTCATTTCATCTATCGGTGAAAAACGATATTATTTTAAAAAGCGTTAATGTAAATATTAAAAAGTTTAAAATCACAAAACCTCGTATGTTTATATTTTTAATCACGCAACCTCATCAAGTTGCATGACTGGTAAAGTTGAATGAACTCCCAGATAGTCATGTGACCAAGTCATTGCTACTTCGTTGAGTAAATGTTCTGTTAGCCAATCAACCAATCATGATCTATGTATTCTGTATTCAGGATAGACAGAAATATTTTGATAGATTCCAGAAAACAATTAAAAAAGGAAAGTTAAACGAAATAATTAATAAATCCTCTATCTTTTAGATTGAATTACTCAAGTAACAGGGAGGATACGTGTTCTTGTGTTACGTGTTAATGTTAAATACCAACATTTCCTCTACTTGGTTCTGCACTTTTAGAATCCACAAGAAAATAATCAAATTTCCAAAAGAAAAGAAAAATAACTCGTTTATTCAAGATCTGCAGACGCGTATTTAAAGGATATATTATAAAGAATTCACGCCAACGAAATGAAATGATTGAAGAAAATATCGAAAAAAATCAGAATCCAGGTTATTTTGCCATGATTCATAAGAACTTCTATCAAAATTATAATGTTGGAATCACCCGCCCCACCAGTCTTAAGCACGCCCGATATTTACATTCTTGACTTTGGGCTTTGCTTCGAATTAATTTTTTAATTACGTTGCTGCAATTCCATTAAATATGTTCTATTCCACACGGATTTAAGTGTTTGGTCCTCAGTCCAGAGATCTGTGAATTTCGATCATAATTTGGACTATTTGAAGTAAAATTTTCAATTTTTCCTTTATTCTTTTATTGTCGGCATACACGTTTAATACGAAAAAGTATAGAATGACAAAATCGTAAGTTTATAGATTGTATAATTATTGACCAACACGTGATTAATTTCAAGTTATAGAAGAAACCGAATGCATCTCGCCCCGGTTAGTTCGGAGTAAGCCGCAATACTCTTAAAGGGACTGTGGACGTAATATCTTACCCTCATAGTTCCTCTTAAAGGAACTGTAGACGTAATTTCTTTTTCTCAAAATTCCTCTGAAAGGGACAGTAGACGTAGTTTCTTTACATCATAGTTCCTCTTAAAGGGACAGTAGACGTACCCAACAAACAAAAACCCGTGAAGAACACAAGATTATTTGGTTTATTTCACACGAGTGACCCGTCATTATCCCGTGATAATTCACGTGTTGTCGAGGTGATTGTCGACGATTTGAAACAAGGAGGGTACGTGAATTAATCACGTGAATTATCAACCAGTTCTCCATAATGCTAATCTCGTTGAAAACCTGTGTTTTGTTTGTTGGGTAATTACTTTATATCATAGTTTCTCTTAAAGGTACTGTAGACGTAATTTCTTTATCCCATAGTTCCTCTAAAAGGGACTGTAGACGTAATTTCTTAATCTCATAGTTCCTTTTAAAGAGACTGTAAACGTAATTTCTTTATCTCATAGTTCCTCTGAAAGGAACTGTAGACCTAATTTCGCATGCACAATTCACAACAGTATCATTTAAACCTCTATTTTAGAAGTAAAAATGAATTCATATCAACACTGTTCTGTTTTAAATGTGCTAACATCTGGTAATTCTTTTTTTATCAGCAAATCCGAAAGTTATTTTTAGAACGGACCCACAACTCAAAATGACCAATTTTTCAGAATAGAAATTAAGGATATCTAATTCATCCATTCATTCCTTCATCCTATTCATCCATTAATTCCGTCATCCTATTCATCCATTCATTCCTTTATCCTATTCATCCATTCTTTCCTTCATCCTATTCATCCATTCATTGCTTCATCCTATTCATCCATGATTATTTATATGTAGGTTTACATGGTCAAAAATTTGAGGGTCAGTTGAATTTGCTACTACATGCCTTTTATTAGGTTTTATAATTTAAAAATGAATAAATTTATATTTTTCCTGATGAGCGACTAAGTTGGTTTAATTTTCAATACAAATATTTTCCATCATAAATTTTCCTAATTATTTTTCAATTATATTATTCTCAGTTTCTATAGATTCCAAGCTAGGAAAATTAATCCATTTGAAAATACTAAATGCACACAAACACTAAACAATACATGATAGTTCCATTAGCAAAATTACAGAATCCCCCCTCCCCTCCCCCCCTNTTTTGGCACAAACTCAAATCTTCTGATTCCAATATATTTGCAACCTGATGGGGGAAACCTTTGATGTTTCAAACTTAGATTATTTTATTTATAAGCATTAATAGTTTGAAATATCTAAGGTCT